TTATGAATCATACATAGTGGAAATTTTTATTATGTAATTGTTTTAGATTAGATGAGATTTGTGAAGTTTATTTTATTTGTTATATTCTACAGAATTTCAAACATTTGATTAAATCGTTTATGTCAGTTAAACAAAAGAGGATCCACATGGCTACCCTGCGGTACTCCTAACCTTGCTTCTTTATAATAAGAGAACGAGTTTTATTTATTTAATTCTAGGAGTTCAACAAAATAGAATTTCTTTCATTCGTCCAGTTCATATTTAGCCCCTTATTCCTTTATAATATAACTTTAAATTCGTTAAATGTCTATAATCTCTTCGAATAGTCTTTCACCAATTACACGTCAGAATTTGCGGTTAGTTTAACTTTCATTTTTGCGTTTTACTTTTAATGCCAACAGTATCGTGCCAACTAACTGTAGGATATAACGAACACGTTGCGTCCATGGCGTCTTGCTGTGATTGTTTTCGCAAGAATTACAGTCGAAATATCTCGCGATGCATATTAGCACTTTCGTGCATTTGTAAATGCGGCATGTGTTGCATCGACTCGGTATAAATCTTTCTCTCTAAATATACATGGATTCAATGTAAGTGACATTACCCGGTTATTTTTAGGCGGTCACTGCTCCTAAAGACAAAAGTAACCCGAATGTCTTGCACGTACCTACAGTATGTACCTACAAACGTTGTAGTCGTTTCGAAAAGGACTTTTCTCGTTACGTTTACAGCCCATCGTGTCCTTGCTAAATCGTAAGTCAATGTGTATCGAAAATTCTAGACAATCTCTTCCAGGGACCAAATATTGCGGTAAATTCCCGAAAAGTGGAGTTAACTAACTTCACTATTGCGAGTTCTCGAAAGTTCGTTTTCAAAACACCCTGTACATAGTCTACATGCAACGAAATGTAGCAGTTATTTTAGAAATTTCGCGTTCCGTTCCGAATTGAAACATAAATGCAACGGTCTTCACATCGTCCTGCCCTCAGTGCACATAGATGCAGAGACGGGATGAGGGAGAAGGGATGCTCTCGCCACCGCCTTTTTACAGTCGCCGCCGCCACCGCCACAGCCGTGGTGGCTGCTGGCGTGATGATGATGAATGTACTGTCACATCGACGACCTCCTGAGCATGCTATCGCTCTTCTCCTTTTCACATTTTTTGCCTGTTTCACTTGCTCCTTTACATTCAATTTTGTCTCATTATTATTATTATTATTATTACTGTGCAGATGATTGTACTTCTTCAGAACTAGTATTATTACTGACTATCAAACCGTCGAAAAGCCTTAGGATTGCTTTTCTCGCTCGGAAAAGTTTTAAAATGATTGTTAGGAAACCTTCAATGTCATTTGAAAGAATAAAAAAAATGAGAAAATAACGTAATGCCAATTTGTAATTGACGGGGCCGATTCAAGAAAATTTTTATCATGCTACCTACTTTTACAACTGGAACGCTACTAGTCAATCAATATATATCATAAAAGAAAGTGTACAATGCGCGCGTCGGTAAAACTCAGAAATGAGCCCCCCCGTTTGATCAAGGGAGTTATATTGGTTTAGTAACCCTCTATCTCTCGTCCACGAAATACGTTTCCATTTTTACCTAAAGGGTTTTGAAGATATAATGAAGTTTCGCCCTCTAGAAATTTCTAAAAGAATCCAGAACATTCGACAGTATTCGAGAGCATTCCAGAATATTTTGGAATATTCGGGGACATCTCAGATCATTGTGAAACATTTCAGAACACTCTCGAATATTGTAGAATGTTCTAGAACATTGTCGGCCATTCGAAGCCCTTTTTGTGTGGGTGGCGCTATCTATAGGAAGAGGTATGTAAAGCAAGATCCGTCGTGGGTTCCAACGTTCAGGAACATCCCACAATATTCTGGAATGTTTTGAAATATTCGAGGGTAGTCTGAAATGTCCCAGACCATTGTGGAACGCTCCAGAACACGCTTAATTTGTTGCGGAATGTTCTAAAACGTTGTGGGCTATTCGAAGAATTTTTTGTATGGGTGTACCTCTTATATTTAATCTCACATCAACTCCACCCACGCAAAGCCCCGGTACCCCAGCTAGTTGTAAATAAAACAATATTACACTAAATTCCACTTAGAATTTTTAGGAACATAAAACATATTCCGTTTTTGTGTTTCTAAGGATTACACCTGGGGTGTCATTGCAGATCTTCGACATTTAGGCTAGCATTTTGGTCAACACACACATCACCTTGCGACACCCTGCCGCACTTATAGTATAATTGGCTTAAACTACTGCCAAGAGCCAAATTTTGCGTACCCGAATTATAAATTATTTCTATCGGTTTCGCAAAGACATATTTCCCTAAAAACCGCACTCGTATCATACAAATTTAAATTGGCTTATACCACTATGAAAAGAGAAATTTTGCTGACCCAAATTTCAAAATTGGTTCAAAATGACTCCAAATTATGAATCATTTCCTTCCCAATAGAAAATCGAAACTATTGTACCTTATTTTACTTTTCGGAATTCCATGTCAGTTTTCTGAGAAAAGAACAAAAAACAGTGAAAAGCATAAAATAATTTTCTTACGTAAAAACGATACAAACTTATGTAGCTTTAGTAATTTAATGTGTAAGGGTTTTCAAAAAGTGTTACTAATTAATTAATTATTTCTATGTAATAATTTGTGGTTTGTCCAAGGAGAGTAGGCACTGAGTTTCATGTGGAAAAGTTATTTTCTTTCTTTACAGTTGCATTATTAGTGCTGTAATATTTGCTGTATGTTGGGTTGTCTGTATATTGTAATACAAGTTGTACTTAAATTTATCGGAAAAACTAAAAAGAAAGATATAAATTAGTATCCCTATTTATATGTACATGAAACAAATGTAGTTTAAAGATGAAAATTCATCAATCTGTTTCAATAGAACTAAAATTACAGTTTAATTATAGCTGTTATTTTAAATTGTCCCGGCACCTCCACCATAATTTCCAATAACATTTTTTGATATTTGTTTATATGTTTATATATCTTTACGATTATCTTATTTTCAACATCGAAACGATACTTTACAATAAAAAAATCGTATATAATAACTAAATACCTTTAAGCGGCTCCAAATAAGAATTGTTTTCAAGCCTATCCTAATAACTTATTATGTTAAGTATGAAACAATTAAAAGCGTTTTGTGTACTTAATTTAATTAATTGTACATAATGGTAGGATTTTATTTAACATTCTTTCTTAATTCATACTGATTACAAACTAAAACGGTAATTATTTCAGTGCTTCCAACTATTCGCCTGCGGAGTTTTCTGATAGTGTTTTGGGTTGTTGACTATGGAAGTTGCTCTTCGAGAATTGTTCACTAATAATCATCCAAAGTTCATTGGAAAGGTAGGATTCATTTGTTTTACTTTTTCTTTAAATTTAAAATTATTTTTTCGCTTATTAAACGAGTTAAAAATAGGTGGATACTACAGGGGTGCACTTCCAAGCCCCCAATTAAAGGCGACAGTTTTATTTTTTGATAAATGAATTTCTCCTTTATTAAACGCACTAAATGCACCAAAATGCATAGAAGATGTTATAAGGGATCAGTGAAGAGAGTTCTATTGTTAGAAATTACCAGGGTGCACCTCCAACCCCCCAATTAAAGGCGACAGTTTTATTTTTTGATAAATGAATTTCTCCTTTATTAAACTCGCTAAATGCACCAAAATGCATAGAAGATGTTATAAGGGATCAGTGAAGAGAGTTCTATTGTTAGAAATTACCAGGGTGCACCTCCAACCCCCCAATTAAAGGCGACAGTTTTATTTTTTGATAAATGAATTTCTCCTTTATTAAACTCGCTAAATGCACCAAAATGCATAGAAGATGTTATAAGGGATCAGTGAAGAGAGTTCTATTGTTAGAAATTACCAGGGTGCACCTCCAACCCCCCAATTAAAGGCGACAGTTTTATTTTTTGATAAATGAATTTCTCCTTTATTAAACTCGCTAAATGCACCAAAATGCATAGAAGATGTTATAAGGGATCAGTGAAGAGAGTTCTATTGTTAGAAATTACCAGGGTGCACCTCCAACCCCCCAATTAAAGGCGACAGTTTTATTTTTTGATAAATGAATTTCTCCTTTATTAAACTCGCTAAATGCACCAAAATGCATAGAAGATGTTATAAGGGATCAGTGAAGAGAGTTCTATTGTTAGAAATTACCAGGGTGCACCTCCAACCCCCCAATTAAAGGCGACAGTTTTATTTTTTGATAAATGAATTTCTCCTTTATTAAACGCGCTAAATGCACCAAAATGCATAGAAGATGTTATAAGGGATCAGTGAAGAGAGTTCTATTGTTAGAAATTACCAGGGTGCACCTCCAACCCCCCAATTAAAGGCGACAGTTTTATTTTTTGATAAATGAATTTCTCCTTTATTAAACGAGCTAAATGCACCAAAATACATAGAAGCTGTTATAAGGCATCAGTGAAAAGAGTTCTTTTGTTGGAAATTACCAGGATGCACTTCAAACCCTCCAATTAGGGGTGAACATTCAGCTTCCAATTTAGAAAAATCGTTTTTATTTTCTCCCTTGTTAAGGAAGATGATAATACCAAAATGTAATAAATTAGTGATAGGTGAACATAAACTAAATTTATGTGATTAAAAGTTAGTAGTGGATGTTTTACTTTCTTTTTGTATTAATAAATGAATTGAGAGTTGCTACTGCTGCACTGACAATAAAAATACTTTGCTGTACATTGGGTTGCCTATATTTAGGAGGAACAATCACGAGTAGTATTTGAAGTTATTATACTTATATATATTTTATATTCAAATTTAAATCAAAATTTTTGCAAATTAAATGAGTGCGCTATATTCTATATAAAGATTATATAAGATACACTTTCTTTTTCCGTCAGGATATGTTAGATCAGTTAGAGCTTAAGAAGTGTATTCAGGGAATATTTGATGGTGGAAGCCGACCTTTATATTTGAAAAAAGTTTGGTTAGGTTTAGAAGATGTTTGATAGAAAAACAAGTATTTGTCAACAAATTTTTATTTTTAATAGTTTTTCTCAATTGCTCATCTAATTAATGCGTAGTTATAAGATTTTCCTCGGTCGTGAGTTAATTTAATATTTGTTGCTTATTGAATTGTGAAAAAGAATGTTGCGAAAGATGTTTTGAGTTAAACAATATACCACGTATCTACTTCTCCTGTGATATTTTTTACAACAGTATTAATTTATGTCGATTATATTAATATAAAAACAAAGTAATTCTAACTATGGATAAATTAACCTTAATTTCTGGAACTTTGTTTATGGCTGCAGATGTATTTGCAATTGTAAGTTTAGCAATGCCTGACTGGATTATTACAGATGTCGGAGGTACTTTGAAACATAAAGTTAAATACTTTTAAAAAGATAAATTTAACGATACGCCTTCTTTAGGTGATACAAGATTAGGTCTTATGTGGACTTGCATGACTTTATACAACCGTCCTCAAGTTTGTTTTACCCCTGATTTACAACCTGAATGGTTGTTAGCATTAGTTTGTATTTTTGTTGGATGTATATGTATAACAACAACTATAATACTATTAGCTTCATCTCATTGGGACAGAAATGTTGTACCTTATGCCCGTTGGGTAGGATTTACAGCAAGTAAGTCAAAATTGACTTTTTGTATATTCAATACTAAAAACGTATTTTTAGTGGTATTATTTTGTTTGGCTGCTGTAATATTTCCCATGGGATTCCATGTGGATGAAATTGGTGGTCGGCCTTATCAACTTCCCAATAGTCATCAAGTTGGGATTTCTTATATACTCTTTGTTTTGGCTCTTTGGATAACAGTAATTTCAGAGCTTTTCGCAGGGAAAGTTTGTCTTCCTCACTTTTAAAGAAAGTGTAGTCAGATATTATGTGGTTTCATACCTATATGTAAGCATTCACTATCATATAGTATGTGAATATTTTTTATATATCGTTAAGTCTTGTTTTTCTTTTTTATAAGTATAATTGGAATTACTGAAATGTAATACTAAAAGAATACTCATAGAAAATATTTCATCATTTTAATAATATATTATTTTTAAAATATAAAAAATACCCTGCCTTTTAAAGCTGATTACAAATATTAACAAAAAAGAAAGTATCACAATTTCTAACTACTTCCATGAATAACAAAAGTTTATAAATAAATCAGAAAATATCACATTAAACAGTTTCTTTACAACAAAAAAATAACAGAAACAGCAAAAGACTAGATAAGTATGTTCTGGGAGTATTGTGATATAAAGTTTTAACTTCATACAATAAAATAACAAGTTTATAAACAAATCGGAAAATATCACATTAAACCGTTTCTTTACAACAAAAAAATAACAGAAACAGCAAAAGACTAGATAAGTATGTTCTAGGAGTATTGTGATATAAAGTTTTAATTTCATACAATAAAATTTCTATTACTCTAAATACTTACTAACACCCTTTTTGTAGAAAAAAGGCACATTAAATATTATGTGCCTCTTCTAAGCTAAATACAACAAGTACATATTGCCTGTATAAGTACAAAATAATACTTTTTGTTCATTAAGATTATTTTTTTTCTAAATTGTACAACTTTGGTAATTCTGATTCTAATCGAACAACTTTAATATTAGAAACAAGTTTCCATTTATTTTCATTTTCAAAATCGCTATCATTTACAAAAGAAGATGAATAGCTCACTAATTCCTTTGAACCGTCATAATCTAAATCTTCTATTAGTAGAGAGTCCTTTTGGGAAGCAACATCAGGCTGACATATGTGTTGCACCCCTTTTAAAAAGCACAACTGCACGACCTCTGTCAAGCTAACATTTATTACATGTAAATTGGTTTCATTTAATGTTATTATCATCACTCTTTCCTTGATAAAATTAACTTTTACAGTTTCCTTGTCTTTTTTACTGGAGTGGTTGCCTTTTAGGCTGTAAAATTCAGTTGCATAGGCTCTTACAAACGAACTAGTATCAAACCATTCCCACAATTTTAAGACGAATCCACTTACATGGCCCTTTAGAAGGGACAAATTGAATTCTGTTGCTTTAAAAGAAAATACTACGGGTTTCAATAAATATGAATTAGTGTACAGGAAGGCTGCTATTTCTTTGCTAGAATTTTTATCAGAGAGTGAAATGGTAACTCGACAATCAATGGGACAAACGCCTTCATTTTTAAACCTTAGCAAGTTCTATTGTTAGAAATTACCAGGGTGCACCTCCAACCCCCCAATTAAAGGCGACAGTTTTATTTTTTGATAAATGAATTTCTCCTTTATTAAACGCGCTAAATGCACCAAAATGCATAGAAGATGTTATAAGGGATCAGTGAAGAGAGTTCTATTGTTAGAAATTATCGAAACTATTGTACCTTATTTTACTTTTCGGAATTCCATGTCANCTGCTATTTCTTTGCTAGAATTTTTATCAGAGAGTGAAATGGTAACTCGACAATCAATGGGACAAACGCCTTCATTTTTAAACCTTAGCACATGACCATTAACTTTATAATTAAATTTATCTGTATTTTGGAAATAATTGATTTTTTCTTGTAGTAATGATTTGTTTGACAATTTAATTTTGCTTGTAAGCATTGCACTTGTAATGTTGTAATACTGGGTAATTTGTCCATGCTGCATACAAGAAAAAACAATAAATGATTTTCCGGACTGAACTACATGCCCATTCTGACAAGTTCCCATCTCAGTTTGAGACAACAAATCACCCGTTCGACCAGAAATTATGGTTAATACAGAATTAATATCATCATTGCTTATTATTAAAATATCGTCAACGTTATCACCATCTAAATCTGATACAATTACAGGAAAATCTATGATGAAAGCATTTTTATAGAAGAAATTATTTTTGGCAACTTCCCACACAGTTAATCCTGTGGTCCCATCTATCATGTGTATTCCATGATTGCTTTGAATTAAACAGTCTTTTATCTTGTCCTTGGTTGCATCAGTTAGTGTACAGTCCAATTTATAAGCTGCATCAACAGTGAAGTTCCAGGCAATTTCTCCATTTTGTGTGGTATAAGCTATTACTCCAGTTAATTTATCCATAGTTTGAATATCTTGCTTATATAAAAAAGCTAAAAAGTGTGAATGCCAAGATTTACTCTTAATATCATTAATTTTTCCAAAGATTTCAACATTGTCTAATTGTTTATCCCAACTGCTAATTTTAAGGGGGCACTTGTTAACTTCAGGACAAGGTAATACCCATATAAATGTAGTTGGGGTTAAAATACATAACAGAATTGAAAATACAAAGAGACACTTTGAAATGGCCGATAATGGTTTGTCTTTAGGCAACACTTTATGATTGTTAAACAAGTTCTCACTGACATTATTTTTAGAAGCAACTTTAAAATCAGCTTTGCAATTTACATCATATTTATGGATAATTTCTTTTTCAGAGTCAGAATCGCTTAACATTTGAGGAACGGGATAATATGCTCCCTGCCAGTCGTTATTTAACGAGGTAATCTAGAAAAATAAGGTAAATTATTTACAAAACACTTGAATCAATTAACCTTTTTATTTTCACCTGTTCTAAGGTCATTTTAACATGAATTTTTACTGAAGTTAACACCACAAATGAAAATTAAGCCATCAATTCTGTTTTATTTGATGTTTTGTCTTTGTTTTAAATGGTTTTAAATAACAGGTTAAGTTCTATTTTAACTTAACCTTATACCATAGATATTTAATACATAGACCTAATATATAAACGTCAATTTTGATTCATTATAAATGTGTCTAAGCGATGACAAAACGGACGATATGAACTTAAAAATTATCTTAATAACGTATAAATTAAGTTAATAGAGCTGCTTTAGAGTGAACCACTTCTGAGTAAATAAAATTTATTCGAAAATTAACCTAAAATAATATAGATAATTGTCTTCCTTTTTTGAAGAATTTTTGTTGTCGTTTTATTTTAAAGATTGATAAAATTAAGAGAATTTTATCTAACTTGAATGATAATGTTTTTGAAAAAAAAATTAATATGGCGATCTATTTTAAATAAAATAATGTCAAGCGGTTATGTAGATACTCTTTAATTTCCATTCGTGAGTAAAAATTGACAGAACCCTTTTCTATGGACAGAACCTCAAAATTTTTATTTGTCATTTGTTGGCCTTTTTCGTGATAATTAGGAATTGTTTGTCTTGTTATGAAATATGTCTTTTGATGTATCTGAACGTAACGCAGTCAGTAACAATACATTAACTAAGAAAAAGACACTAAATATAAAGGACATCAGTGAAAAGTGTTCGAAAAATAAAATAATTGCTCAGTCCAAACGAGAGTGTTCAGAATTAGATATTAACGGTTTCTACACGAATAACAACAACAATCAAATGTTCAGTCGGTTTTGGAAAAGATTGAAGTGCATAAAAGGCACCATACGAAATTGTAAATTAGTGCGCTGGCCAAAGTTTCAAGAAACCTGCTCAAGTGATCAGCCAGTTTATATAGAAAAGCTTACATCTCCTGAAGATGTATCTGTATCTCATATTTCGTTCTCAACAAACTTCGTCCCAAGTAGTAAAGCCCCTATACCAGAGTTTTTAAATTTGGAAGACTCTATTCCCCCACCTATCCCTTCAAAAGGTTCTAAAAACAAAGCAAGTTTTAATGAAGGTAGCTCTCAGTGTCTCAATCCTCAAAACATTTCAAATGAACACCAAATATCCCCAACACCTTTCTTTGCTGAAAAAACAATTGAAGTAAGTCAGTAGAAATTTAATGCAAATATTGAATAATATAAGTAAATTGTCTTTAGGATGCAAAACTTTCCAAGGGTGTTCATCAAGAAATATTTTCTTTGGCAAAATATGGATGGTATTGGGGTCCTATTTCACAGAAAGAGGCCCATGAAAAGCTTAGAGATCAACCAGATGGTGCATTTTTAGTGAGAGATTCGTCCTCAGATAGATATTTGCTAACAATAAGTTTTAGAAGTTCTGGAAAGACCTTACACTCACGCATAGAACACAGTTGTGGTTTCTACTCATTTTTTTCACAGGCACCAGGCTACCCAAGTGTAGCAGAATTAATTGAAAAGTCTATATCTTTATCTCAAGATACTGTTCTTGGATATTCATTTCATAGAATAGAGGTGCAACCAGATTATCCTGTAAGATTAACAAAACCAATTTCCAGGTTTATGGAAATTCGTTCCTTGCAATCTCTGTGTAGATTTGTCATTAGACAGAATGTTAATGTCGCAAACATCGATAGTCTTCCTCTTCCTGAATCTTTAAAGCAATTTATTCAGCAGAATCATTATTAGTTGTTGCTGATATTGAATAATCATAAATTGTGTGATAATGTTTGTTTTCAATTTGTTAAAACAAAATTTTATAGGATGTTTTTTATAGTTGTTTTTTTAATACTTACTTTTGTCAAAATACGATATAATAAAGAGTTTGTATTTCCTTATTTAGCATATTTATGCCATCAACCAGTCAAGTTAGAGGTAGATATGGTAACTGTGTGTAAAATAAAACACAGAGCTTACAAAAAATCTCACTTTGTTAAAATAAGAAGATATACAGAAGAATTTTTAAAACATAAGCAAAGTAACAACAAATCCTTAATACTTTTACTAATTCAATCCAATCATATTTCTCGCCTGAAACAAGATCATTAAGTTAAAAACCACATTCTAAATAACGTTTCAATGAATACTTACTGTAGTAAATGCAGCTGCGATTGAATCCTTGGTAATTCGACTAGACTCATCAGATTTGACTAAGAGCATATGTAATTGCTCCAATTCTGACAGTCGTTTATTCAAGAACTGCCAACTGTTCTTAAAATCAGTTGAGGTGTCTTGAATTAGGTACAGCTCTGTTGCCTTGTAAACTCCTGCAACTGCAATCCTTCTTGCATACCAGTTAAACTGAAATTGGTGTTAATTTATGATGCATATTATAATTTTGCATTTGTGCTTACATCAACGGACGAATCTCCAGCATAATAACAAATATCGTCCACCATGGTAAGTAAAGTTGCAAGAGAATTAGGAACATTTTGGGGCAATGACATGATTGCTATTGCTTGTGGCCATTTTGAAACGTAGGGTACTGTCATTTCTAAGCGTGCCTTTAAAGCTTTCTCTACAAAATTTATTGGGGGAATAGGCCTGGAAGAACTCTCCTGTTGTAACTGTTAATTAATAAATGTAGAAGATTTAATTGTGGAACGTTTTAGTAATTTACTACAGATATACCTCTTTCAGGTACTGAAGTAACCTTTTACTGGACCTTTTTTGAAAATAGTGCACCAAGTCGCCACCACCATTGGGAAACATAGAATGTGAGATACCAGGGTAGCCCACTTGTTCTGCTCCTGAACTTAATGCGGCTTTACTCCATCCCAATTCCTGTACGTAAGTCAATGAAGCTTCTAATATTTTATTTTGTATATTCTCTTCATAATTTTCTTCATTTTCCTTATTAATGTTGACATTGTTTAAATTTTCACTAGAAAACTTTCTGGCTCTTAAACACGGTAGAAATTGACCTACAAGGTGAATAAGGTTCTTTTATTCATTAAAAATTTATATGCCAACAGTGACAGTTATGCACATTTGAATAATTTCATCAATATAAGCAACTATTACACATAATAATTAATGTATATAAGTATTTGCTAGCATCATTCTTAATAACTTAAATTCATTAAAATTTTGTAAAAAAAATAAACTAATAAAACCATTCAGAGGTACGTACGTTTCAAACGATGTTGTGATGGTTTAAACAAAATAAAACACATTCTATTTAACAACATTTTAACATTTTCAAAATATTAAAACAAAAATTAACATAGAAAAAAACATTTTTCGCATTACGAAAAAGGTGAGGTTATCTTCCAATCTCTTCTTTTTCCTCATTAATTACCATAGATAAGTTATTATTGACATGACAACCTTAATAACTGCTATTGAGAATTATGTTACCATATAGCCGCATCTAGACTTTTAATAAATTGTTTCTTTAATATCGTATAAAACTATTTCGAAATTTAAGCATCGTATCGGTTCCGGCAAGTTGAGGAGTTTTTAGTAAATTTTTGAGCTAGTGTTCAAAGTGATATAATGGTAATTACAAAAGATATTACTATTGTATATACATATACCTATTTTAAATGGAAAATTGTTTTAAAAACGGTTCAGTTGCAGAAAAAAAGGGGTAAGTAACAATTAACAAACTGTAATGGCTGATGTCGCAACAATACATCAACAATTAAAAAATCATGATGGCCGATATTAGCAGTATTGTTTAATTTACTTTGAATTTTTGTTTCACACTGTACCAAGATCCTTTAACTTATTTTTCATTTAAGTTATAATATAAAAGCATATGAAATTTGTAAAAAGAAACACTGACTATAATAGTTTTGAAAATTAATTCTTGATTTTGTTGCAGCTAAGTTAGTTTGCAATATTGTAAATGGGTTACTTATTTCTTTAATGTAGAAAATTATTCGACAGGTCTTTACATAAACTCCGAAGGTCATGCTGTGGTCCATTGATTCTAAGAAATTTCTTTCTCTCCAGAAAGTGGCAGTACCCCAAGGAATTAACGAGAGTTGGGGCTTATAATAGGACTGTGTCGACATTACACTTTAGGTAAGATTTTAAAACTTGTTGTAAATTATAATCAATGATATTTTTGCTTTATATAGACAGATATATGATTGTAATTGTTAAAACAGCTAATTTTATGAACAATGCGTTACATTTCAAATTTCCATTATTAAATTAGGCATGGTATTTATTGTAACTAAATTTCATACAAAAACAGTTTATTAAAACAAAGCAGTTTTTTCCAGAGCATAGCAGTAACCCAAAAAACTGTAAAAATGTTATATAATATANTTTATATATATTATATATCGTATTATGTACGTTTTTTTGAAGGGAGACTAAAATGAATTATATCTGAATACTGTTTCATACTATTTTATTTTACAGGAACATAAAAACTCGGGATGCTATGTATTATAAATCATTCGTTGTGTCGGTCCTTTTTTACTCCGGAAAGTAGCAGTACCTGAAGTCATGAGAAAAACGTGAAGGTGCCTTTTTTGGACTGGGAACGGAGACCGCCTGTTATTGGAAAGAATTATAAAATTGCAAAATGGTTTGGTAAGTAAAGTATCAATTAAAAATTGTAGAAAGTAGTAGAAATACTAGAAACCTCAATTTTATAAAAAAAAAATTGTAACATACTGTCAAAAGACAGATTTTAAACAAAAGACGTCTTGGTACGTAATGCATAAAATAACGAGCGTATGTTACTTCTTTGTATAATACCGTCAGATTGTCCATCGTTTTGCTGGGGCTGTAGGTAATTGCAAACTTCAATTTATCCAAATTATTTCTAAAAGGGCCTGGTTGGCGTTTATAGCCCCCTTACGTTTTGCTGATTTTACCACAAAAATTCGTAGAGAACATCGATTTGCACTTCTAACTCCCGATTTAAAAACGTTTTTATTTCTTGATTGTTAATTTTTTAAAAGACGAGTGTTTTATAAGTAAAGAAAGTCAGAACTGCTCCTGCAGTCTGACGCTCAGAATACACTGCAGTGAAGTGGGTTGCCTACGTCAAGGGCCAGCGGTCGCCAGCAATATTTGAAACAATTTGTATTTTAAATAGAAATTATGACCGTACTTTCGCGCGAAATTAAACGAGTGCGCTGTAGTCTAGATAAACAAGGAAATGTTACAGCGCTAGTCGAAATTTGTGAGCAACTAAATTTTTGGATTTTAATAAAACAGTGTAAATATATTTGGTACATAAGAAGTCTATGAAAATAATTATGATTTTACAACGCAACGCTGTTATTGTAAATGAATTTTTATCACTTTGTTGTGTACATTTCTCTAATGCGGGCATTTTTTAACTGGTGTCCTGTACATCACAATTTTTTATAGGATTTGTGATAGAGAAAGGTGATATGATAAATATGCAGGCAAAAAACTGTTGGCGAGTTTTACCTAAAGATACATATGTTATAAACCCAGATTAAGGAAGTATTTTTAAAAAAAATTATGTAAGAAATCGTCTGATTTGATTACGTTTAAATAAAACCATATAAAACATATTAATTTGCTAAAAATTATCAAATTGTAACCACAGTCAAATACGATATTTTGTGTATTCTTAATCAATCAAGTTACCGGTCAAGCACTAATAATACATAAGGAAAATAGAAATAAAAGTAATATATAGATGTTATTCACAAGCAGTTTAATCAATTATCTAAACCTAATATCACAAAGATGCGTATAGTTAAAAACTCGAACAAAAAAGTTAGTTTTATTTGAAAAATTATGATGAGTGTATAAAAATGTAATAAAGTAATAATAGTAAAGGAGATAGATGCTTCTCTGTCAAAGATAGCAATTGATTAAGAAGAAAAGTAATGTACCCCTTTTTTTTAGTAGCATATAGTAACAACGCGATGAATTTTTAATCTTCTGTCCCAACATTGAGAAATTTGTAACAGTTGTTTATTTCGTAGGCATCTGAAGTCTAAAATTTATTTCTACGTTTTCAAAAAGAATTGTATTTTTAAAAATATCCGTATTTTTAAATCGCATGCCAGGAAAAATAAATGAAGTTTTAGTTGTAAAACCCTTGTAAAAAAGCCATGCACCTTCTTTGGCACAAGAAAGTAAAAACTAGCTGTGATTTTGAATTATCTCAAATGAAAATTAAAATTTCCCACCCTCATGTCAACGAAAAATGATGTCAATTTTTTCATAACGGTTTTATAACTAAAACTTCTTACGTTCCTGTATAATATGAACAATACATTCTAAATGCTTTTTCTTTTTTTNTAATTCGAGCAATAAAGTTGTATTATTTTATAGCACTAGTTCAAACGTTTGAAGGCCGAATTACGTAGAATAACAGAATACAAACCTGCCATATATAGTTGGTCCCGCGCAAAAATTGGAACTGAAAAAGATCTTTCGCGACTTATGCTCTCCTAATACAAATTTTCAGATTTAACAAAATTTTCAGTTTTGAATCATATACGAGGGCTGGTCAAAAAGTTATGGAAAATCAAATTTCAACACTTGAATTTTCCATTACTTTTCGACTAACCCTCGTATTTGGCTCAAAACTGAAAATTTTCATAAATTTCAACATTTGTATTAGGAGAGCATAAGTTGCATNAGGCTCTTGTAGTTAATTAAGGTGAGCATGCATACTATATTTTCTATATGTAGTGTGTTTATTTGATATTAACAAAGAAAAAGATTCAGCATTACTTTAACAATGTATCGTGCACATTATTTACTTAATGCTTAATTAATTATATCTGAACACTTTCATAAGATTTCATTTTACAGGAACATTAGAAGAGCTCCGGATACCATTAAATTATGAAATTATGGAGCGTTATATTAGCGTTGTATTAGTCCTCATTTGCCCTGTAAAGTAGCTGTGCCCATGGTTCTAAAGAAAGCATGAAAGCGCCTTTTATTCATTTGGAGCGAAGACAGTGTGCTGAAAAAAGGATTTATGATGATGAACTGGTATGTAATAGTATCAGTTAAAAATAGTAATAAAATATATAATAAAATATCTTTAGATAACTTCAGTTTCTTAGACATTTGTAACTTGCTTCAATAGACAACTTTTAAACGTTTCAGAAATGGCAGAAGCAGAATTTAACGTGGAACAGATCTTTCTATTAGTGTGCATGTTACTGATTTATACTGATTTATTCGATTTAAAAATGGTAATTAATTACTTTTTCTTGCCTGATTCTATATAGATTATCCCACAAATGAGAAGGAATCGCGGTTAGTTTTGGTACTACTAAAACAACCGATGCTTTTGACGTCTTCACCTTGCAACATTACGCAGTTAATTTTTGCCGTAACAATGGGAGGCAATTGGAAATTAATTAATTTGGATGCAACGGGAACAACAAATTATCTGCAGAGGTATGCCTCCTAGATTTGGTTGGTTTGCTCATCACACTGGTAGACTTTAGAACGCCACTTTCTACAACTAATTAAGGTGAGAATACATGACTTGATCAATATTTCTGTTGAATTTCTGTTAGCTATTGTCAACAGTATAAATTGAGTTTATTGTGCATCTGTATCGCTTGACAGTTTTTATTTTCCACAGGATAAATTAATATTTATCATTGATGTATCCATAGACATATATTATGGATGTATCTATGGAGTTTATCTATCTATGGATTTTCTTTTTAACCTTTATCTGTTTTCTATGTCGTAAATTGACGTCGTGTTATTTGAGATTAGTCTATGTCGTGATCTATGGTTGTGATGTAAAATGGCGTAAAATTTTTGTTTGTTTATTTTATAATTCAGCTATTTTACTTGCTTTCTGGTGCGTTTTTATTTGTGTTTCTTAATTATAAGTGTAATTAATATGTTTTTTGTCCATTTCTGCAGGTTATACAATAAATGAGAGAGAATTATTGTTCAGTTTGGTTATACTGAAACAGTCCATGTCTACATGGGTGTGGTCTTTCCTGGATTATATTCTTGATTTGCTGTTTCGTCTTCGCCTTGTAACATCATGCAGTTAATTTTCAACCCATGAGTGAGTGCAACTGGA